GTCTGCTGGCTGGGTGCTGGCAGGCTTGCACCTGGCACGGGCACCGTAGCCACACCGTGCCCCTTTAAGGGCTCCCGGGCCGGGAGCGGGGCAGAAGAGTTTCCCTGGTGGTGCCCAGAGTGGCCACCAGGGAAAGCTGGGGAGGTCTAGCCTCCCACTAGTTCGAATTAAGTGGCTACACAGCCCTTAATTCGAACTACTTAATTCAAACTAGGCGTTAGTCCTCGTAGAATGAGGTTTACCTAGTTCGAATTAAGCGCTCTGTTAGTTTGAATTACGTTCCAACTAGCGGTTTGTATGTGTAGCGCCTATCAAAGTTAGTTCGAATTAACTTTGTAGTGTAGACATATCCTAGCAGATTTATTTGGGTATATCTGATGAAATGGTTTAACCCACAAAAGCTCAGACCCAAATAAATGTTAGGCCATGTCTTCACTAAGCAGAAGATCGACGCCGTTGTGATCGATCTTCTGGAGTTCGACTTTTATAGACCTCTATCATGTTCCCCTTAGTCTTCTCTTTTCCAAGCTGAAAAGTCCCAGTTTTATTAATCTCTCCTCGTGTGGCACCCGTTCCAAACCCCTAATCATTGTTGTTGCCCTTTTCTGAACTTTTCCCATATGTTGAGGATGAATGACACCAGAATACCAAAGCAGTTGTGGTTTGGTGAACTGAAAGTAGGCAACTATATATGAGGTGGCCAGAAGAACAATTCAAGAAAGCTCTAAAGCATAACTTGAAACTGTGCAACCTTGGTGAGATGGCTAGGAGTCATCAGCAAGAGAGCACACTGGCGAACAGCCATCAGCGATGCAGCTTCCTAGTTCAAGATTAACTGCTTTACGGATGTGGCGGCACAGAGGCTGGTTTGTAAACCACAGCAGACTCGCAGACACGGACACTAATCTCTTTTCTGCATCGAGCTAGCTAGGTACTTCATGCTACTTGCACATTGGTCTTTTTAGCCCCAGCTGTACTCACCGCCGGACATAAAACCAGCACCTTCGGTTAGAAACGTTCCCAAAAATGTAGAACTGTGACTTATTGTGACTCTCTCTATTCAAATGCTTTGCTCACTGTTTCCTGCATGTCTGTTTATTGAGGGCTATATTTGATAGCAACCATATACAAGAAAATATTGGGGCAGGAGGCCTTTGTTTTATTTCTTATTCTTCAAACTGGCATCAAATGAAGATGGCAGCCACAAACTCTCCACCCCATCCGTGACAATGCATACAGCAATGTGAAACAAATGGGAAGAGAAAGGGTTTACATGGCACTGCATTATTTTACATGAACTAAAATGCATATACGCATTATGAAGCCATTTGTACAGGGTCCACTGTCAGTGACCCTGACTCCCTCCAGGGCCCACAAGTTCGGACCTCGGCCTCGGCCTAGCCTTTGGTGGAGGGACAGTTTATAGGGCCCAATCCTAGGTCAGGATGGGCAGACAGACAAGGGATTAACACAAACCGGTCAATAGCTCACGGGTTAAGACGCAGCCCTGGGTTAGGGCGACAAGTGTCTATCACGAGCAGTGTAGCAGTTTATAGCTCCAGCTGAGTCCCAGCTGGGCAGGGCTTGGGTCTCCTCACTCCCAGAGAGCCGACAAGCTCAGGGGCTTTTCCCCTTACAGGGGGAACCTGCCACCCCTAGTGGAGGAGTAGCAGGGGGGACACAGGCCCACCCACACCACTGCATCCCGGCCCACGGCCCTGATAGTGGCAGCCTTGCAGCCACTAAGTCGGCAGGGATCCGGGCCGTTACACACTGATTACCTCGAGGAGCCAGCAGGGTTCCAGGCCACAACGCGCTGCCCACCCAACCTCCATCTCCTCAGCCGTCCCAGGGTCGGCTAGCCCTGGGCCCCTTCCCAGTTCCCCCTGTGGGCCTTCCGGGCTCTGGCATTGCTCTGGTGGGTCTGCTGCTGACAGAGGAGCTGGCAGAGTATCCATTGGTTCAGGCTCCGGGGGGTCCAGGTGGGCCAGACCAGTCATCTGGGCCTGGTGAGGGTCCTGGTGGGGTTGGTACAGCCTCTGGCGGCAGCAGGGGCCTCAGCAGCCTGGGCCAGCGATCAGGAGTTGGCAGGGGTCCTGGCGGTGCAACCCAGTCCCCCAGCCGGGCAGTGCGGCTGAGTCCTGCAAGGCGGGAGCTGGCGCAAAGGGTCTGCCCTGGTCAGCTGCTCGGCTCTGACTGAACTCCCAGCTCTTATACTGCTCATCCTACCCACCGGCTTCCTGTAGGCGGGGCTAGGGGAGGCTGGACCTGCCCACCAAGGGGTCTTAGAGGGCACTTCCTCTTCTGGGTCAGAGGGTGCCCATGTTGCTGTCCCAGACTCATTATACCCTTTATTGCTGTTTGGTCTGCTAATGTCATTCATGCAAATTTGGGATGAAATTTACCCCTCTGCTGAGGGCTAGCACAAGGTCTATGCACCCTTGAAAGTTAAGTGAAAAAAATCTCTGTTCATCTGATAGTGGTTGAAGTCGAAGGGTCTAGTCTCATAAGGTGGCAGGATGAAGCCGATAGATTACAACGCTATTATTTAAATGCACGAGCAGAGCCATAAATACATACCTTATCTCACCAGGCTTCCAGCCGCTGCTCAAACGCCAGCTGTCCATGCAAGACCTTTATGATAAAAAAAGGAGCACATTTCTGAGATACATCTCAATCCCAAAAGACTCAAAGTAATTAAGTGAAATGCTGCCAGGTTGTGCTGTGAAGGGACTAAAAATAACTGTAATAACATTACTGACACATCAGCTTATCAAAATTTCATTTGTTTGCCCAGATCTGGAGTGGCTATATGTATAGAACATGTCTATAATCCAAGAGTTCATTGTTCTTCTGAATGAAAACCTCAGAGCCAAATGTTTAATCCAGTGCACCCATTCTGACTAGCCTTCCCTTTGCCAGAGAAAGATGAGCTGTATTAGCGGCAATAGCACTCCCTCTTCTGCAGATAGTCTGCCATCTGCATGTGCTTTGCTTTGGTGAGCATCTTAATCTCTGTCGTAAAAACCACACTGCACCAATAAGAAGTGGTTTTTAAATCCCCAGGTCTGTTTATTTGTTTGGAATAACTGCAGTGCTCAGGCTGTTGCGTAAATTCATATAAGTACATAATAATAATCTAGCTCCATTGACTGCATATTAAAATAGAGACTATGCAAGGCTAAGTATCCACAAACCAAACATTTGTGCCTACAGACTGGTCAGCCTCACCTCTGTCCCCACAAAAATCACGGAGGGAATCCATAAGGAATCCATTTTGAAACACTTGCAAGAGAGGAGAGTGATCAGGAATTGACAACATAGATTCACCAAGGGCAAGTCGTGCCTGACCAACTTGATTGCCTTCTAGGATGAGGTAACCGGCTCTGTGGCTATGCGGAAGGCAGTGAACGTGATACACCGTGGCTTTAGCAAAGCTTTTGATACAGTCTCCCATAGTATTCTTGCCAGCAAATGAAGGAAGTCTGGATTGGATAAGTGGACTGTAAAGCCAGCTTTTCTGGATGGAAAGCTGGCTAGACTGTCGGGCCCAACGGGTAATGATCAACGGCTCAATGTCTGGTTGGCGGTTGGTGTTAAGTGGAGTGCCCTAAGGGTCGGTTCTGGGGCCGGTTTTGTTCATCTTTATTAATGATCTGGATGAGAGGATGGACTGCCTTCTAGGATGATATACCTTGGCTTTAGCAAAGCTAAGTTCTCCGATAACACTAAGCTGGGGGAAAAGGTAGATACATTGGAGGGCAAGGATAGGGTCCAGAGTGACCTAGACAAATTGTAGGACTGGGCCAAAAGAAATCTGAAGTTCAACAAGGACAAGTGCAGAGTCCTGCATGTAGGACAAAAGAATCCCAAGATCTGTTCCAGGCTGTGGACCGACTGACTATGCAGCAGTTGGCAGAAACAGACCTAGGGATTACAGTGGGTGAGAAGCTGGATGTGAGTCAACAGTGTGCCCTTGTAGTCAAGAAGGCTAATGTCATACTGGGGTGCATTTGTAGGAGTATTTCCAGCAGATCTATAGAAGTGATTATCCCCTTTATTTGGTACTGGTGAGGCCATATCTGGAATACTGCATCCAATTCTGCCCTCCCTACTTCGCCCCCATTACAGAAGGGATGTGGACACATTGAAGAAAGTCCAGTGGAGGGCAACAAACATGATTAGGGGATTCAAGCACAGGATTTATGAGGAGAGGCGGAAGGATTTGAGCTTATGTAGTGTACAGAAGAGAAGAGTGAGGGGTGGATTTGATAGCAGCCTTCAACTACCTTAAGGGGGGTTCCAAAGAGGATGGAGAGAAGCTGTTCTCAACAGTAACAGAGGAACAATGGTCTCAAATTGCAGTGGGGAAGGTCTAGGTTAGATATTAGGAAAATCTATTTCACTAAGAGGGTGGTGAAGCACTGGAATGGGTTACCTAGGGAAGGGGTGGAATCTCTAGGTTTTTAAGTCCCAGCTTGACAAAGCCCTGTCTGGAATGATTTAGTTGGGATTGGTCCTGCTTTTAGCAAAGGGTTGGATTCGATGACCTCATGAGGTCTCTTCCAACCCTATGATTCTATGATTCTAAGTTTAGACTCTTATATCTATATTTAAGCACCCATGTCAGTGTGACATGACTTTCAGCACTTTTGAAAGTCTGGTCAGATTTTAAGCTAGGTGCAATGATATGGATTTAGGAAACTCAGGGTGCGTCTACATTCACCGTTATTTTGAGATAATTAACGTTATTTCAAAATAATAATGCCATCATCTACACAGCCATTCTGTTATTTTGAAATAATTTTGAAATAATGGACGGCTTATTCTGACTTCTGTAAATCTCATTCTGTGAGGAATAATGCCTATTTCGAACTAAAGCATGTGTAGATGCTCCACTACTGCTATTTTGAAATAGCCCCTCATGAGGGCCATTCTAAATTATTCCTCCCCAGTGCCTCCTGGGGCTCTAAGTTGAGATAGCACGTCTACATTAGGGAAGCCTGCCTTGGACAAATTGTGAGGCTTCCCTGCAGTGTAGACGTGCTATTTTGAAATAAGCTATTTCAGAATAACTATTCCAGAATAGTTTATTTCAAAATACGTGTGCAGTGTAGACGTACCCTCAGATTTGAAAATGTGGGCTAGGATCTTTCACCAAAACAAAGTGATAAATCACTGCAAAATTAAACCACAGGAAGGAGGAGCTAATTACAGTGAAAAACCTAGAATAAATACAAATGATTAATTATGCAGACCCAGAGCCAAACCCTGACATTCTAGGGTTAAATTCCCTCTGACTTCAGGATTTGACTCTGGGCAAAGGAAAACTTTAACAAGATTATGCAATGTAGTAAATGAACACATGTAGCATAAATAGCAAATGCCGCCTCAATGGCGACTTATTTTATTAAAACAAAGGTTCTTGCAGCATCCCTTAGGAGATGCCATGCCTTTTTGTGGCTAAGTTGTAACATGTTTGGTTGGTAATCTAATGGGTCTTCTGTCTTTTACGGTTGTGTTCTTTTGATAGGGGCTGGATGATTTTATTGTAGAGTAACAGACAGAGCAAAGAACCAATGGAAAATCTCCAGGAGAGAGAGCACAGTGTGTGTTGTTTGTTTAGCAACAGTAGCTAACTTGGCCTACCTGGTGTGGCATGTCCCTTTTAAAGGGCAGTTAATCAAAAAGAGCTTACCAGTTACGGAGCAAAATACCCCACAGTAACTATTCTCATGAAGGAAAGGTACAAGTAGACACTCAGATCTGGGGCTGGGCTCAGATCTCTATGTCTCAAACTTTGGGGAATCTGACTCTGGATCTAAATTTCATAACTGGACCCTATTTCTCTCATGGACCAAACACCCCTAACTTGCAGTTGTCCCGGTTGAAATCCAAACATGCACCTAAGTCAGAATTTTGTGGCTGACCTCCCACTGGACAGCGGGAAGCCCCACAAATTTTGGTGGTGGAACAAAATCCAAATGTGGATTCAGATTTGGCAGCTCAGACAATCCCCAACCCTAGCCTAAGAAGCCAATTGTCACTGGTGGCTGTTGAGCTATCATGTGGAGGGTGAAACTGACATGAGAACTGTGCCACTAAAACATTGGGACTAGCTCCCTGGGTGAACCTGGATTTGCTTCCCTGGATACATTGTCTGCACTTTGCTACAGCTGGGGTGAAGTAATTAGGTTAATCACCATTTGTCTAGTGAGATTTTTGATGCTGGGAATCAGAGAGCAGCCTGCCTGTTGTAATTCACATCTACTTCAGCAGCTGTTTCTGTGAGCCTGTGGAATGGAAGGTCTGATCCAGCCAGGTGCTTGGAACTGAGGTTGATAGACATCAAGGGCGCTTAGCACCTACCAGTATTGGGCCCACAGTGAACATCCACTCTGCAGATGACAGCATCGGGCTCAGCAAGCTGTCCTTAGCTGAAATTATTTCACCAAAGAGAGGGGGAAAACCCACCCAGCATTAACGTTAGCAACCTCCCCAGAGGGATGCCTCTTTGGGAGCTGACCTGAGTTGAACCACACATGTGTCCTTTTGAAATGACATTCCCACGCTGGCCACCAGACCCATTCTGCAGCTGCCTCACTTCTTATGCCCTGCTCCTAGGAGATGGATACTTGTGCATGAAAAGGGCTGGCTCTGGGGCCACAGATGCAGCTGGTGTCAATTAGCAGACCTTTAGTCACTTCACTCAGTGCCTCCGATTTACACCAGCTGCGAATCTGGCCAACTGGCGGAGGTGGTTTGCATTTGGCACTGCTCAGTCTGTTTCCAGAACTGTTTACTTTCTAGAGAATCAAGTGAACCTTGGGCTTTCTGTCCACTTTCAAAGCCTAATTTTCTGTCCAGCCTTAACTGGGGTTTTTTGTTTTTGTTTAACCACATAAGGTACTAACCCATCTGCAAATACCTGTTTGTAGTTGCACTATGTCCTAGTGGAATAAATTATGTAAGTTATTATTAAGTAATTATGGGGACAGCTCTATTCATTTGCACAAAGAAGGTGCTACAAAGGAGACTAGTATTTAACCCCCCCCCACCCCAAACCAAATCCCGACCTTTGTGCCAACTGATTAAAAATAATAATTTGTGTGTGTAGCATCTCATCTCTGAGGAGCTCAAACAAATGTCTGCAATGATTTTGTAAGGGCTTTATTATCATTAGGGCATCATAACAAATATCTGACCTGCTCCACGGGATTTTGTACAGCTTCATTAATGAAGAGATGGAAAGCACTTTTGAGATCTTCTGATGAAAGGTGCCGTGTAAATGCAAAATTTGGTTAAAACACAGAGGCATGGTCTAGTGATCTGAGAATTCCTGAGCTGAATCCTCTTCTGATAATACCTCCCCTCTGAGATCACGGGCTAGTCATTTAGGCTTCCCTTCTGTAACAAATCAACCACATGAATAGCCTTTAGTACAGCTGAATAAACCCCCTTTCCATGTATTTAGCCCTCCATTTAGTTGGTGGGTTACCCAGCGACAGATTTCAGTTTTTACAAATATGCTTGCCATTCAAGGGATTGTTTGGACAAAGCTATTTCACTCCCCAGGCTGCTTGAGAACTTTTTTGCCTTTGCTATTGATTGCTTCGGGTATCTGCTATTCACCA